CTAGCAAATGTTAATTAATAAATTACATAATTTAATTATTGATTACTTCATTTTCCTTCATAATATGTTGGCTTTCTTTTTATCTCTGCTAAGTTTTTGAACTAAATTAAGTTCACGTATAGTTATCCAAAGTAATTTTTAGATTTCACTTTTTCCATTACGCCTACCAAGGCATTAGTCTTGCCTTTCTGACTAATTTCAGACTGAGTCATTTACATTTAAATCCATCCAACACCATGAAATAGTATGAATAGTATTTTGTATATATTAGTTACTGTCAGTCAGAATTTCAATGAAATTCTGCTTTGACTGCAACATATTCGCTACACTTTAGGGCTCATATTTCGATGTTTGAGGTTAGCCGCCATGTGGCGGTGACTGGACACTGGTACACGACTTTCAACAGATTTAAGTTAGTTTTTCCTTCGGAAATCCAATAATGCTTTTAAAAATGCAAGTGATCCTAGGGATTTTCAAAAATTAGTTTCAAGTTTTTCATCCATTTGGCTAACAAAAAATAAAAAAAAAATCTCACCTTTATGGAAATATGCTGTCACGTTACGCGTAAGCGACTCCAAGAGATCGACTTACTTATATTGCTGTGGATGTAAATCGATTTAACCTTCCACTCTGAATCATTAACACTTTAATTAAAAACGAAAAGACTTTGCTTGGATGGATGCTTAACACTTTCACTGTACCTTATTATACACTTTAAGAGACTCTGATGTTCGTCTTATCCCTTTGAGATGTTCAGAAGAAAAGAACATTAAAACTTGACAAGCGCGGGCTTGCAGGAGAAAGCGAATCTACTACCGGCAAGTAGTAGATCTGGAAACAGACTTATTTAATTTATTAGGATTTAACTTCTATTATTTGTTTTGAAAGCAAAAAAGATTTTTTTCTTTTTGTTTTATTTTTTAATATAATACTTAATACTTTCACATAATTAAAGACAAGAAAAAAAATAGTTATATTTATTAATTGCGCTCACAAAGCAGGTTTTCTTTAAATCGTACAGGATTACATTTAAAGGAAATCTGAAAAAGGCGACATGTTTAGCAGGGTTGCATGATATGTGCCTATACTTTTACCTTCCAAATCTTCTAATGAGTAATAAGATGAACCTAATATCTCTCGCACTCTGGTTTTAAGGAAAGTTTTTGCCAGCTTTGCATTAAAATGTTTTGCCATATTACTATGAGCAAAGTTTCTGCGTAAAACCTCTTGACCAACCTTTTATTTTATTTCTCGAGTTCGCAGGTTATAACGATGTTCATTGCGATAATGGGCCTTCTCCAAATATCCACGAACATTATCGCGTATACTTAAAAGTTTGTCGGAACGCGCTAGACTTTCTTCTGTTACGCCTTCGGTGATTATGTTAATATTTCGCAAAACTGCGTAGGTGTCCCCATGTAATATCATATGCTGACCAAATACGACAAAATAAGGACTGTATCTTATATGCAGATTCTATACTTTTCAATTCATATATATATATATATATATATATATATATATATATCATACTCAAATATGCCCCTCTCTGCGCGAAATAGATCTCTTTCTGACACTAAGGACTAGCGCTTTGAACGTTTTAATGCAAAGTTTTTTCAAACATTTTATTTTCAAACTATACTTTTTTCTATATAAACGATTTCAATACATCTTTATGAATTCCTTTTCTCAAATTACTGTATTCAACAATATGCAAAATATTTATACACATCTACAATATTTTCGGTCTTTCCCTGTGTCGATCTTATCTCATTTAGGTGCTTATAGAGACCCCTGACTCATCTCCTAAAACGATATCTTGTGTATTTACAGGAGATAAACTTTATTTTAGCGTTTAAAATAGTTTTATATAGGTAAGGATAGTGAGTATGATTTTTATTAGCCTTCGCTTGAAAGAGGGCCAGATCGACGTGGCACTTCCATTGTAAAGAAAATCAAAATTATGAGTAATTTTGCCTTAAAATACACTCTGCGCAATGGGTACCTAATTTCGAAAGAAAATGATAATTCCACATTACTGAATTCATTATCCCCTATGAAGATTATTTTGCCGCTGTGACTGGTTATGAAATCGGTAAAACTAATTCTCATAATTCCAAATCTAAACTCAAAACATGATAAATAAAAAATGTAATATAAAAAGTTATGAATCTGATAGAAAGTAGAGAAGGGTAAGTTTACGTATAAACGTTATATTGAACTTATTCCATAACTCGAACAATTTCGATGGTTGGTTAGCCAAATAGCTCTAATAGCCTTATTTGATACTACATTCCGAAACCAAGAAACTGAAATCTTTTTATTAAATTAGTAGAGAACCCTAAGTACATAGACTGCTTTAAGGAGGGCCCCACGTTGGGCGCCATTTTGTAATGAAATTAATGTTCTACTATCCCTCTGTCGAGAGCCTCGTACATGGCTAAGCGTGCATGCTAGTTGTGACCTGGTCTTAGCTCGCCGGACTGGGGTGGTTCTTGCTTGCCATTATTGTTCGTGGATCATACTTACAAAAAAAATATTTCATGCACATATAATAATCGGACAGAACCAAAACTGAACTAAAATTTCTTACCCGGATACCTCAAAAAAGAAAAAAAAACGGACGAACGGATATAATGAAAAGCGGAAATGCTTACGAACGAACTGTAGAAGCCATAAATCCGCTTTTCTTCTCTCCCCTACCCAACCATACGAGAGACTTCCTTACACATCATCTCCGATCCCAACCATTTTCAAACGAAGGCCTAAATCATTCTTACAACACCAAAAATTTTAGAACTTCATTTCAATTACTACAATTTATTTATTAGTTAAAATAATGTTGATGTACATACTAATTCTTTTATATTGTATTTCNCCAATAATGCTTTTAAAAATGCAAGTGATCCTAGGGATTTTCAAAAATTAGTTTCAAGTTTTTCATCCATTTGGCTAACAAAAAATAAAAAAAAAATCTCACCTTTATGGAAATATGCTGTCACGTTACGCGTAAGCGACTCCAAGAGCTCGACTTACTTATATTGCTGTGGATGTAAGTCGATTTAACCTTCCACTCTGAATCATTAACACTTTAATTAAAAACGAAAAGACTTTGCTTGGATGGATGCTTAACACTTTCACTGTACCTTATTATACACTTTAAGAGACTCTGATGTACGTCTTATCCCTTTGAGATGTTCAGAAGAAAAGAACATTAAAATCTTGCGGAAATGGTAAGTGTGGTTGTAAACAGATGTTTGCTAACTTGACAAGCGCGGGCTTGCAGGCAAAAGCGAATCTACTACCGGCAAGTAGTAGATCTGGAAACAGACTTATTTAATTTATTAGGGTTTAACTTCTATTATTTGTTTTGAAAGCAAAACAAATTTTTTTTTTTTTAATATAATACTTAATACTTTGACATAATTCAAGAAGAAAAAAAATAGTTATATTTATTAAACGCGCTCACAAGCGTTTAAAGGACCTTTTTCGCCCTGAAATAACTCTGGGCGTAGTTATTCCTTAGAAATGGATCCAACTATGATTAGAGGGAATGAGTATGTTAATGTTAATGTGATTCGGGGGAGCATTATTGCAAGTGTTGTGCGTATGTAGACGATTTCTTACTCTTATAGGCTAGCCCAGGTTGGACTTTGAGTGTTAGAGAGCGTCGCTCATAATTGGGAAAGTGTTTTGGCGTTTACCTCTCTGTGAGGAAAAATAAGTGATAATATTCAAAAGGAATATGTCTCTGATTCGCCCACCTGTTGCTCGTACGAATGGTGTCGGTGTAAGATATGTGACACAAATCAAACATTTGGGGCTAACTACGAGTGAAAGAATACTTTGTGCGTTTGAAAAACAAATGCATAGTTATATAGGACAACTGTACCGCATTTTAAGGCATGCTTAGGGCGACAGTTGCCGTTCTTTTTTACAAGCTTTTGGGATCAATGCATGGCTCGCACTACTTATGTGAATGGTACTAATCAGTTGTAATACTGTTGATAGGAGGCAGCTGATATCAGTGAAAAATGTGAAGTTAGTAGTCTTTATTAATGTTTTGCAAATTTTGATTGATGTGCCTTACTCTTGATTAAGTGGCGGTACATGCTGAAGGTGTGTTTGAATGTGGACTTGCTGCAAGATAGGTGGTAAGTCGATAGAGATGAACAATGAGGATTGAGTGACATACTAATATGTTAGGGAAGTCAGTTCATGGTAAAATGGGACACCTGTCTCTGCCACCGAGCTGTAAATGTGGAACAGAGCATCATGATGGAGGGCCGCTACGATAGTATCGTGGCTTACTGTAATAAGTTGCTTTATTTTTGAGTTCGTTATTGTAATTTGTAAGGGTTTGCGGTTAAAGCCCAAGTGTGGTTATTGTTGGACTGGTCTTATCTCGATATGGAGTAACTTCGCAACTGCGTGCTTGAATAAAAGCAATACAGATATCAGCGTAGTGTAATAACCCCTCCTCATAAATCTCCACCAGAGGGGTTCAGCCTAGAGGCTGTTACAGAGAAGTAGACCATTAGCGTTGATAGTTTGAAGAAAAATTCGTCTTAAGATAGAAATTATAGTTTTGTACAACATGTAAAAAGAGTCCTAATATCTGGTCAAAGAATGGTTTTTTTTTTGTCCGATATGTCCGACTGTTTCAAAGATATAACTATTAGTAGTGAACAGATTTAGATTTAGTCTGCCTGATTAGCATTAACAATTGGTCCGTTGGATTTAGTGAAATTGCAACGTTAACTTGCATTAAGTACCCTGAGAGTTCTATTATCAACTACAAGGCTTCTTATCAATATGAATTTGAAAAACTTGGCATCAATGGTGGTTGGAGCACATATTTCTATATTTTTTGAATTGTATAAGCTCAATTACATCTAGTGGATGGAATATGTATTTATAATGGTCAATGTTACTGTTGTGATTGTTATACATGATTACCAATATGTATTTATTGTGCTCAAGAAAAAAAGTGCTCTTACGTATTTCATCAGTTGCGACACCATTCCGTTCCATTCGCCTGAAAATGGGTCTTGCGCACCATACTTTCGGTCCGGTACAAGATCAAGGATGTAATCAAACCCAATGTCACGAGCAATTAACTCGAGTATGTCAATGCAAAATCCATAAAACCGCTCATTTCCTGTGAAATTTTTACCGTAATGCATCATCACATAAGGCGTTTCCTATTTTGAATGTGATAAACAAAAGATAACTATAAGACCAACAAGTAATACAATTAAAAAAAATTATTTGCAATAGTTCTGGCTGTGATTTCTTTATTTTTTATGCTAGTCTGCAACGAGTTCTAATATCATAAGTATGAAGATATTAGATAATATCGATAGTCTTATCTAGTTACCCGTTGTTTCTTATCGTGGCTTTATTTTATATGATTTATCTAAAAATGTGAACTAATTCTTTCGTTGTTTGCGTGAACATTATAAACACTGAGTGAGTGAAAGTTTTTGAAAGGAATTACAAGTCAAAAAAAAAAAAAGTAAGACAAAAAAATTTAAGAGTTACTTATAAAAGCTAAGTTTTGCGAAAAACTCTAATGAATGGCAACAAATAACCATCCTCCAATAACACTGAAAAAAAATTCTAAAACCTGGAAGATTTATCAACGCTGAAACTATTTACGGAGCTATTACCCGGAAAAGCAAATTTCTTTTTATGTGTATGCAATCTTAGCAAAAAATTTAAGGATCGTCGTTATAAGAAAGTCAAAAAAAGTTTTTACTTTAACAATATTATATCAACAATATATTGAAAATCGATGTGATCTCGTTATTTGCAAATCAATAAGAAAACTAAATATTTTTTGCAGGCTAGTGTTATTTGCTCATACTACTAATTCCATGCACTTACCAATATTGTGATGACAACTAGTGTACGTGTAATATTTACTGTATTGTTATCATAAAACAGAGAAGGCTCAGTTATGTTGAGGCGAGTTTGTGGAGACCACTCTCCCACTTTAACCAAAGAATGTTGCCTCAGTTTTACCAGATCCAGTTTAAATTGTGTACGTTGGCCTTCTTTAAATTGTATGGGACCCGACAGACCCCGCCACTCCACCTTTAATATTAAATTTAATGTTAAGCGTAGAATTAGTTCATTTAGAACTACTTACTATAGGTTTAATCTTTGTAACCGACTCAACTGAATGAAGAGCGTCGTTCCTTTTATGCATACACATATAAGGATTCTGTAGATGTTCTTAACAAATCCTGTAAGGCCGGAACTCCATTGCAATTACAAAATATTTGATGCTACTATCACAGGGGTATTCTCCCCTCGGATGGGGATGTCTACCCCTCCGAGCATATTTCCGTCATGAAACTTACAGCCATTCTGAGGTAGCTTAGAAGAAACCTCAGGTTACTTCATATTTATTGGAAAACATTCTCTTCTAATTAAACAGCAAGCTTTGTCGAAAAACGTTCCAACGGTTATAAAGTACAAATTATGTAAGTATGTAAGTGTGTATATACATATTGTATATCGTACACTTCACAATTTTATTTAGCTACGAGTATATTTGATCTTTATAAATAATACTTGGAAATAAAGGGAATTCATTAGAAAATTAGCCATAGACGGGAATATCGAAATTAAACCCTAAAAATAATAAAGATAACACCATTTTCATATCTATCATCCACATGTTTGACACTCCCTGTTTCTTGTGAGTAGGTTACAAAAAAAAAAACAATAAAGCAAAGTTACCGAGTTTATGTAGTTTATCAAACTCAAACCCTCAATCCACGGATTTTCACTTTCACACGACACATTGGAAATATGCAAAGTAAGCGATTGTTTTAATGTTTTCAAACCAATCGCAAATACATATACGGAATCGTATACCAAGGCGGGTTCTGTCTAATGTAGATAGGAATACAAAATTATATTGTATCTTAATTAAAGTTTTCAACTGTAAAATCCTCACTTTTATTGTTCGCAGCTCCCGGTAATAAATTGTATTATTGTTGTGTTCGCTATTGTAGTCTTCCATGCCCTTTAAGATGTTTCGAACGTTTATATCTCCGACATCTACCAAACGAAATGAGGTGATATTCACGAAATTATATTTAAAATCTTCTAAATCAAAAGATTCGATGTCGAAACTTGTAAGTAAGTAATGATATTTATACTCGTTCATCTCAAGTTGTAAAATCTGAAAATTCATATTTAAAAATTAGCTCACTCTATTCATATCATCTTAAGGGTTTCTATAAAATCATATAAAAAATATTGACGAAAAAATAATAATAAACAGAACTTCTGCGATGACACAGAAAGCTCAACGGAGGGTAAGAGACATAGAAAAATGTTATCCTTAGAAACTGTATCAACACCACGACGCTTAATCGTGAATTATTGCGCCGATGTATTACCAAAAAAATAAAATAAATCAAACAGAATAAGCTTTCGATTTTGATAAGTGATGATTCAAATTTTATTGAAATAATTTTAGAATTTTACATTGTATGAATGTGCGTATGCGGATGAAAGCAGGCAATGTATGAATCAAAAAAAAAGTTGGAGAAAACGCCGTACTTGAAAATTACGGACGACTTAAGGAAACATTTTTTTTAGTTTCCCAAACATTAGGGTGCACAAAAACATTTAAAAACTTAGGCTGAGAGCCTTGCTCATACTACTAATTCCATGCACTTATCAATATTATGATGACAACTAGTGTACGTGTAATATTTACTAAGTGCATGCGCTTATGAAGGCTCGTTAAGATGCGCACACAAAATTAGGGTAGTGTCCTGTTTAAGCGCACGCTTAAACATACTGGGCCACCCTGCACGATGTGGTGAATTAACTCTGTTCGGTGTGATGGAACCAACGATTTCGTGGAGGCCGAATATAGTACTGATTTACTCTGTGGTTCCGTATGTTATTTCCGCTGTTGCATTTGATATGAAGAAAAGTCGGAAAGTCGGAAGTATACTGCAGCGGAAAGTGCTTTTACTTAATTTTTTGTTTTTTAATATTTTGAATTGTAGACATAAATGTGTGTCATGCTGCCGATAGGAGCCTATTCTACGGGACTTGTAGAACTTATTTGTAATGCGTCTTTGTGAAACATCTGACCTAGGGGTGATCAGAGTATGCAATGAGCAGATCTTCTCATGACTTGAGTATTGCGATTGCATGTTATTTCTGCTGACCGATTGGGAATTATGATCTGGGGTGATCATTACAGTTTTCTGTATATTTTGACTCGGAATGGGATCGAAATCGCACTTTTGTGCAAATCTTGACTCGGGGTGGTCAAGTGTGTCTGTTTGCGTTTATCTTGACACGGGGAGGTCAAGGGCACATTTCTTTTATTCCTTCGGTCAAACCCATGAGTAGGGCTTATATGCAAAAGAGTGTTATGCATCTTTTGGCAATGCAAGCATCTATGTCGTGAGGTACACCGTTTGAGGGTATGGTGCAACGCCAGACAATTTGTACAAATGTTATTAGTTTTTATAAATTTATATCGTTGAGGTATCGGCAATTTCTTAAATTGCTTGCAATGCTTTAACGAGTGATTCTTTTTGCACAATTTGAACGATTGGTGACTCTTTTGTGGAGAAAGAATAGGCTTAGTTATTTTATGCGAAGTAGAGGATTTCGCAAGCTTGTGTTCAACGGCTTCTATAATTTCGAATTGTCTGTGAAGGGATTCTTTCATTTGTTGCCATGTTGGGCACTACTTTCGGGATACAAGAGATTGATCCCTTAGCATTAGTGAAATTTCTGGTAATGCGGATGAATATATATTGACCAGAATTGGGTCCCAGCTATCAGTAGGTGTACCAAGAGTTTCGAGCACTAATAAAGAATTTGTGATTGTGGAATACAAATCAATAAACTCTTCACTGGTTTCTTTCCGAACTTTGGGTAAGTTCAATAATTTTGTGACCTTATTGTCGACTAATATCGACATCGGGAGTGTTTGTTTTCATATCGGGAGTGGAGAGCATCTCACGCCAATTGGAAATTGTTGTTAGTTAAACCGAATTGTTTAACTATATCTCCGGCTTGGCCTCTTGTCTTAAATTGGAGATGGTATAACTTTTGAGCTGGGGATAGCAGGGGGTGGTTTATATATATGGTAGTGAACATGTCTCGGAAAGACGACCACTCATCGTATCCACCATAAAAGGTTTCTGTGTAACATGACGGAAGTTGGAGATATACTTCCGGTTGTTCAATCATTTTGGGTCTGGGTTCTATTTGAGAACTAGACATTGGTTGATTCACTGCACTAATTAACTTAAGCTGCTTAGCAATTTTCGCTTTGGTTATTTCATAAGAACCAATGCTAAATTGATACTTTCCTTCCGCCAGCGCAAGAAAATTTACTGGGAGGTCTTCTTTGTCTTTTTGGAATAAGACATCGTATGCGTCTTGAACTTCTTTATACCAATCGTCAAGAGAATTTTTTTTTAATTTTCAGGAGATTTTCTGAAAATTCCTCTATGGGGGAAGAGTTAAATCTGGTACAATATCTCATTAAGCCATCATTTGCTTTGTCAAAATATTTGCGCACACGGGTAGTGTGGTTTGTATTTTGAGGCTTGGCTTTCGGCTACTACATGGAGAGAAGCAGCGTTAGTGGCGGGTTGTGCTTTAAGGGAGGGTATCTTGGAAGAGATACTTAGCCGAGGGCTTTAGTTTTTCTACATTATGTTATTTTAAATTTATTTAAATGCTTTTAATTAAAATTTATTGTTTTTAAACAAGTCTGCTCTTAGACTCTAAAACTAACGTTGCAGGAAATTGGGTGTAGTTTAGGACTGCTTGAAAATAAAGTGGCCCAGAAGTGTTTACTGCTGGGTTGGAACGCAGCTTATATGTATATATGTTTGTTCATATACCAAAGTTATGTTTCAGCTGAGAGAAGAGCGAAGTAGATCAATTGATCTTGTAGTGCGCGGAGCCGCACTATGTATGTGCGGTTGTGTGTTCGCTGTAATGCTTACGCTGTGCTTGAGAAAGCACAAAAGAAAATAAAAAGGCAGCACAAGAGGTAATTTGTGCGTTTATGCTACTCTTTAAATGCAAAGAGAAGAGATTTTATTATAAGTGTGTACACATGTTAGCAAAGTGATCGTGGGAGTGGATGCACTATTTTTTGAGAATACCAACTTTCTAGTACAAATGTTTTTTTGTTGAAATACAAAAAAGGGAAATTACACGGGAGAGTGCCTATGTTTTCATAAGTGAACTTCAGAACACTTTTAATTAAATTCTCTTGGATGTAAGAACATATGCTTAATTTGCAAATACTTGTAACATGCGAAGGTGTAGTCGGTAGGCGACGTGGTTTTCAGGCATGGTGGCTTTTCGCTTGGGCTAGCTCGCCGGAATGGGGGGGTTGTTTCCACCTGCCTTGCCGTCTCCAGCATGAACAAAATAAAATCATGCCTGATTTTAAAAC